CCGCGTGTCAGGGGTTGGTAAGAGCGGCGGTTTGAGGATGCCCGGCCCCGGATTAGGGTTTCAGTGGACGTGTCAGCTGATGGCATGGCGACCGACATGCAGTGATGATGGCCGTTGTCCGCCGCCACCGCCGCCTCCCACCAGGCTTATGCCATCGCATCCAACAGAAGCATCCTCTCTTTCTCTCTCTTCTCTCTATTTCTCTCTTCTCCCTCTATATCTTTTGCGATCTATACTGGGGTGGAGAGAGAGAGAGAGAATACGGATTCCTACTTACTTGGGGCCGGTGAAGATTAACGAGGATAACCTCTCCGGATTCTAGTTTATCCAGCTTGACATGGACCCGAGCTCTCCCTCTCTCTCTCTCTCTCGCTACTGTGATCTATGCTCCAGTGAAGAGAGACAGAGAGAGAGAGAGAAAACGGATAACTAAGCTGGGCCCGGTCACGATTAACGGGGATAATCTTGTCCCCGTTCCGGATTCTAGTTTATCCAGTTTGATATGAACACGTCTCTCTCTCTCTCTCTCTCTCTCTCTCTCTCTCATCGTTGAGTGTGGTTAAGATTGTTTTAGCCGTGGAGATAAATCAAGCGAGCTGGGTTCTCACTCTCCAGAATCGGGCCTCACGTGACTCGCTCAGCTGGACACCCTAGAGAGAGAGAGAGAGAGAGAGAGAGAGAGAGAGAGAGAGAGAGAGAGATTAATGAAGTGCAAACACCCGAGGAACAACTGACTAGAGAGAGAGAGGGCAAGATTGACAGCAAACAGAAGGGCACACTATCCCGCCTTAATCAGATATAACCAGCAACATTGGACCCATTAAACTAGGTCAGATTTTTAATGGGCCGATAATCCCAAGCCCAATTTTCAATACGGACCCAAGATCGGCCTCTTCAAAACCACCCAACAATTTTGGAATCCATTCTGGAGAGCACCGAGCCCATTCCCATTTCCAAAATGCATTCTGCGATCCCTCCAACCTCATTCCATTCCAGACGGAAGGGGAGGGAACGGGAAATGCATCCCACGGAAACGATTTCCACCGACATCATCTTCCTCCGCCTTCTGTACAGAAAATCGCCGACATCCAAAACCCTCTTTCTTCTCCCCCAGTCCAACAGGGGCAGATCCAAAACCCTAGCCACCGTCGCCGCCGACGACGACCATCATGAGAAGAAGGGAAGAGAGCTCAGATCTTCACGGTCTCCGTTCCTCCGCCGCCGCCGCTGACGACGACCGCCATGAGACGAAGGGAAGAGAGCTCAGATCTTCACGGCCTCCCTTCTTCCTCCATCGCCGTCATCTGTCCTCCACGAAGATTCTCCGGATGAAGTCGCGGAACCTCCTGGAGTAGAGCTTGGGGTCAACGGCGGAGATGGAGGAGGGATCGGCCTGCAGGGACTTGTAGGCGTGCTCGAGCTTCTTGCTGATGTCGTAGTCCTGCAGGATGTCGATGATCCCGAAGTAGAGGATCACCTCGAAGGTCTCCCCACCATGGCCGCTCTGCTCCGCCCTCGCCGGCATGTTCGCCCCCAGCCGAATCAATGGCCTTCTGATTTCCCAACAACAACAGAGAGGAACCAACGATAAGAACATGGGAAGAGACTGATAAAATCCCAGTATTGTGGTTGGAAAGGAAAGTACCGTCCATCCAGAACCCAGTCTGAATCGCTCGTACCTGCCATGAAATCGGGAGGAGTCAGAATGATTCCTAGAAAGCTTCAGAACAAGATGATGAACAGAGGAAACCCTACAAGGAGATGAGCTGCAGGCCGAGAGGCTCGTCTTCGATGATGAGATGTCGCCGCAGAAGTGCAGACCCACCAGAAGGCTGTAATCCATGATCCCCTCCGCTTCCAAGAACTCACAATCTCGATCGATTTGTCTGAGATCATACACATATAAATCATATGATCAAGGACCCACCCATATATGTTCATATCCAGAGCTGAAGGCAAATCTGGAGAAAGAATCGTGCTCACCCCATGAGTTCCTCAAACCATATCTTGTGCAGGCGGAATACAAAGTTGAGATCAAGATCCTTGAGGGTGGTTGTCTCGTCGATCTCTCCCTCGGGTTTGTCTGTCATCCGGCCGTGAGAAGATCCTTTTAGGTCAAATCTTCTGTGGATATGGAACTCCGAACAGAACAGGTTGCCCATCACAATAAACCGGACCTGTTTTTTGACAGGAAAAAAAAAATGCAGGTGACAAATGTGGCCGTGATGTTGACCATGCATGATCCAGAGAAGTCCACAGGGGAAAAGGTCAACGCACCTTCTGCCCTCCGATGGGTTTTACGCAGTGCACCCCGTAGAACTTTGTGACGAGTGAGCTCTTATATTGACAGACATGCTGGAAGTAACTTGGCAGCATCTTGATCAGCACCTGTGCAAAGTTCGAATTCAGATACAGGGCAGCAAAAATAAAAAATAAAAAATAATAATAAAATCCATCCCCCACTATTTTTTCATAATGAAAATTCATAAGAGAATACTTTGGTCTGCCTGTGGTTGACTTGGATCCATATACCGTCTGGGTATATGATAAAATGAGGCTGGGATATCGATCTGACCTTCACTTCTGACTTCTTGACCGTCTTTATGATGAAGCGATCGTCCTGGGTCAGATAGAAGAAACTCCCGCTTTTACCCGGCGAAGAAAGCTCTCTCAGAGCATCGCTCCCACAGATAGCTAGCATGTAATCCGCAGGGTCAACCGCAAAAAGCCTCCTTAGATGCCTGTTTGAGCATCACAGAGATTTATTTCCTATTCTGGAGACGAGCGGTGGGTAAAAGGAAGAGCAAGAGCAAACCCCCGGATGAATCCAAGCATCATTTGGGAAAGAAGAGATGCGAAGGTTTTAGGGTTTTTTAGTACCTGAAGACCATTGGGCAGTAGTCCTTCCACCTGAACTCGACCGACTGATGGGGAGGGGTGATCTTCGACCCTTCTGGGGGAAACCTGGTCCAGAACTTCTCCTTGGGATCAAAATCCCCTTGCCGGAGATCTCTCATCTGGGTCAACGAAGCAAGCTTACCGACTGAATACCTGGAAGAGCCACCCAGTTCAAAGCAGATTCAAGCAAATGGCCGCAACAGTTTCCACCCAGAACACGATGAATCGTCTTCTCCAGGCTCGGAAGGAGTGGAAGAGATGAGAGGATCACCTGATGCCCAGTTGCAGGTTCAGCATCAGATCATAGTTCTTGTGCCCCTTGGAGATGGTCTCTCCGGGCTTCTTCGCCTCACTCCCGAGAGAGAAGCAGGGACTGCGCTGGAGCTGCCTATCAGCTCCCTTCGATCCCACATTCGCCTCCTCCTCCGGCGACTTCCCCATCCTGCACATCATCGAAGCTTCGAACGTGTCGATAATCTCGCAGGTGATGTCGCCGGCCTCGCCGTCGGACTCCCAAATGCAGATCCGGGGAAGGTTCTTCTCCGCATGGCTGACCCTCACCAAAGCACCATCCAAGGAGAAGCGCTTCCTCGCTGGTGAAGATGGAGATGATACGAAGAAGGGGGCCTGCTTAGGGTTAGGGTTGCTCCTCCGGGGAAGTTGCCGTCGCCGGTGGTGATAGAAGTCCATGAGCTCCCTGCTCCAGCAACCGACATAGCTGCTGCCGTTGGGCCAGGTGAAGATCCCGCTGCCTCTGGGGACGCCATTCTCCCACTCACCGTCGTAGCGGCAGCCATTGGACCAGATCAGAACGCCATGGCCGGAGATCACGCCGCCTCGCCACTGTCCGATGTACTGGTTTCCATTGCGCCAAACGTACCTCCCTCGTCCTTCTTGGAGATTGCGCCGCCAGTTTCCCTCGTAGAAGTCTCCATTGGCGTAGTGCTTCCTCCCGAAGCCATCCTCACAGTCGGCACACCAGCAGCCGTCGCAGATCTCGCCGCCGGAGGACGACCATAGGAATCTGCCTGTCGCCGCCGCATTCTCCCCCTGCCATCCTGGTGGAGGGCCCTCCGCCAGCGTCCCATCACATCCCCCCTCGTTTGCGCATCCCTCCGTCCACATGTACACCTCAGGGTTCACCCGTCGGGAAGCGACGAGAGATCTCGTTCGGGAGAGAAGAGGTGCCGGCGGCGGCGGTCGCGGAGCCAGGAACTCGCTACGTTTCTGCTCCTGTTCTTCCTCTTCCTCCGCCACCACCACCGCCGCCGCCGGAGTACCTCCGGAGAAGAATATTCCCTCATCGGCCTCCTTGGCGACGACAACAACATCAGCAAGCCTACCTGCAACTCCAGCTCCCGATTCTACCGCCACCCCTCCACGGTTTGGATCACCCAACGCCTCTCGCATCGTCCTTCCAAGTCCTCAACGACCGTCACCTCAACCCGCAGATTCCATCATCCACCTGCATTTCCGTGATTCTCCCCACCTTCCCTCGCTGCTGCTCCTCTCTCTCCTCTCTCTACCTGATCAGCGATCTCTCCTCTGTTCTTCCCATCAAATCTCCTCCACCCCCAAGCTCCCTCCTCTGTCTTTGCGATCCCTCTACAAGAGCCGAAGCTGCTGCCTCCGCCGGAGAGAGGAAGGGGAACAGTGGGATGCCGAGGAGAGAGAGAGAGAGAGGGAAGGGAGTGAACTGGACGCTGGACAGAAAAAGAGAAAGAAATTAAAAAAAGAAAAGGAAAAGCTGAGAGGGAGAGGGAAGGACAGGCAGGTGACACAGATCGTTAGAGAGAGGGGGAGAGAGAGAGGGGGACCTCCTGATTTATTTATAATATGAACCCTACTATTTAAATTTTTTTATTTTAACTCCTGTTACAAGTATGTTTTATATCTGCATATTGTAAATGTACTCTGATAGTTGAGTTTAGCACGGATATGTCGAAGATGGTCCGAACCGACTCTGATCAGAACAGTTCGACCGAAATGAGGAGGTCCGAACCTGGGCCCATTTAAAGTCCGCGGTCCATAAGAGAGGGAATGAGGCAACCACGTGGCAGTAGAAAGCCTTTTCTCCATTTTAGGCGTTTGCTTAAAAATAAGTCAACGGGGGCTCTTTGCTTTACCGGAGCCGCTCTGATGAGGCCCCATTCTGATCCTGAAGCCCAATTATAGAAATAAGTGGCATGGATTTCATCTCTTTCTCTCTCTCTCTCTCTCTCTATCTATTTCTCACGATTTAAGCTTAAGTTGTTAAGTGGCATGAGTTTATCCTAAATCTATATTATTTACATAATATGGTTATTATATTTTATATAATGATGAATTTCACAAATTATTTGGCATATAATGACATAATAATAATTTATTTATGTATTTAGGAAAGTTGAAAATAGGTTATGTGTGGGTTACTTTTACTAATATATATATATATACATCAATCAACATTATGATATACAATTTTTCTACATGGTTTTCCTATTAATTGATGATAATTTTATAAATCATTAAAGTCACCAATGGTATAATATTTCAGCCCTTATAACTTTACTAAAATTTTAACCCCCAAGATTATATTATTAAATGTTGGATTCTATAAGAGTTCTCAAGTAGAAAATAGGTTTTTTTATCATAAAATTTGTGTCACTTATAACAAAGTAGGGGTTCATCAGCACTTTTCCTCAAAAGAGGAGATTGCCTTGTCAAAGGAACTAGACCCAACTCGACAACCCATTAAGTAGAGCAGGCCCAACAAGCAAAGAGGACCAGTGCAAGTCCAGCTTAGATCCTTAGAGTGGGGGATCCTTACAAGGGTAGGTTATGTATTGTGAGGAGAAAGGAAGGGACCACCTTTTTGGTTAGATAAGAATAGTCTGAGTGGAGTAGTTGTAGCCTTCTATTTGTCTAGACAGATTAGCTTTCTGGGAGGACCCTAATTCCTAGTTCGTACTCCTAAACTCTCATTCTTCTATTCAAATTCTTGATTTTCTCCAATTGCTCTCCTGTGGTTCACATCCTTAGTATTAGAGTAAGCTCTAGTCAGCATTCCTCCAAGAAACTTGGAGAATGAGTCAACCTCCTAGAGACTAAGGTCATGTTGGGAGAAACTTAGCATGGCCAAGACCAAGAAGGCAATGGATAACATCACCAATATGTTGGATCACCTCTTATAATGATTCAAACATATGGAGGACTGAGTGTCTATCATGCAGAAGGAGTCTTCTCAACCACAATCAGACCACAACCGAGCCTCATACCCTCCTCTAATAGGACTGCCAAAAGTCAACTCACACCCCTCCCCAAGCAAGGGCTATAGAGGTGAGAGGAAGCTATTTATCCCAAGTATTGACAAAGAAAATCTTGACTCATAATTATCTCACACATAACTTTATTTTAAGGTGAATAGTGTCCCAAAAGAAGATAGACTAAATGAGGCTATCATGAATCTTGAAGGGGACATCCTATTATGGTATCACTAGAACAACAAAAGATACTCTTTTAAGGGATGATAGAATCCCTGACTACAACTCCTCAAATACTTTGCTAGATCCTCCAAAGGTAATGCCATCATGTAATTCCTAACATTCAAGCAAGAGAGGTCCATAGTAGGATACAAAATAGATTTTGGAGTGTTATTAGCATTTTTGACAAGGATTTCAGAAGAAGTCATGGAAAAAAATTATATTAAATGGCTAAAAGAAGAGACACAAGTAAAGTTGAGTATGAATAAACCAAAAGATTTGCGAGAGATTATGGACCTTTAATTGGTGGCAAAAGCCAAGCTTCAAGGTCTCTAGTTAGCATAGAGTCCCTTGTTTCATTAGTCCCATAGCCTACTCTTCTTCATTATTGGGAGTAGGGAACAAGGAAGGTGACTATAGTACTAATCACTAGGTCCTTAAACCAGCAGGGAGGGAGGCAAACAGCCTAATCAGTTCAAGCCACCACTCTACAGTCAATAGTTAGGGAAATAGGTGGTTGGAGTTAGAAGGAGATTAAATCTCACCACATCAAAGTTGTAAAAAAGGAGGAAAAAGGGTTTGTACTACTATTGTGATAAAAAGTTTTGCTTGAGCCATCACTACAAGAAGTAATTATAGATTTTGATTGTGCATGAGGATCAAAGTGCTGAAGTAAGTGGTGAAGGTGAGACAAACAATCTAAAAGACACATAAGCCAAGGCACTAACTCAAATTCAGTTAGAAGAAGAGTCTATGCAGATGGCAAAAATATCATTGACTTCAGTAGTGGGCCTCACCAACCTGAGGACTATGAGGATGAAAGGGGAGGTTAAAGGACAAGTCATAGTGTTGATTGATTGTAGGCTACCCACAATTTTATTTGTGAAGAACTCATTAAGGAACTGAAATTGCCTTTGACTAAAACTCTTAGATACAATATTTTGCTAGAAAATTACCTTACCATGAGAGGTTGTGGGGTATGTAAAAGAGTCTCACGTCTTATCCAAGGCCTAACCATAGTGCAAGAATTTCTACCCCTAGCCTTTGGACCTTTGGGATAATGCAAATTCACTGGACAAAGCTAACTATGAAGTTCTCCTTGAAAAGAGTGATTACTACCATTAAATGGGACCTTATGTTGTGTAGGTCAAGTGTATCTTTGAAGTCATTGACAAAGCTTTTGGTAGAATGAGGAGCAGTGACCCTGAAGTTGCATTAGATCTACCCCCAAACAAAGATACATGTCCTTTAGAATTTTGCAACAAGCTCATGTGAAGTTTGGAAGCAAACTTCCTAGAGGTCATCAATCCCACTCATATAGTTCCCCCAATTCAAAGTGTGGATCATAATATCTGGTTTGTGGAAGGCTCATATCTAGTAAATGTTTGCCATTTTAAATATTCATATATTTAGAAAGATGAAATAGAGTGGTTGGTTCAGGACATATGCAAAACTAATATTATTTGTCTCTCTAGAAGTCCATTTTCAAGCCTATGGCTGTTAGAAAGAAGAAAGACAATGGATAATGGTTCTATGTCAACTAAAAAGCTTTAAACAAATTTATTATCCCTGATAGGTTCCTTATATTAGTGGTGAAAGAGCTCATAGATGAGTTATTTGATGTTACAATTTTTTCTAAATTAGATTTGAAATCAAGTTTCCACCAAATTTAGGATGAAGGTTGTAGATGTTCACAAAACTATTTTCAAGACCCACAAAGGCCACTATGAGTTCATAGTGATGCCATTCATGCTCATAAATGCACCCACCACATTTCACTTGTTGATGAATGATATTTTCAAGCCCTTTGTCCACAAATTTGTAATTTTTTTTATGATATTGTGATTTATAGTAATGATAAATGATTTTATTTCTAACACTTAAAACATATTTTTAGAGTTTTGCAGTAACACCAACTGCATGTAAACAAAAAAGGTGTCTAATTGCACACCTTGAGCTACTGTACCTTGGTCATATTACCTCAACAACATGAGTGACAAGAAACAAAAGAAAAATTGATGCTATGTTAAAGTGGCCAACTCCTGTCAACTTAACTGAATTAAGGAGACTTTTTGTCTTAACCATGTTATCACATATTTGTTACATGTTATCTTATACTAGCACATCCTTTGACTCAATAGCTCAAGAAAGACTCCTTTAACTAAGAAGAAGTAGCAGAAAAATCATTTCAGCAACTTAAAGAGAAGATGACTTCTATGTTGGTACTGGGTCTTCCAGATTTTTCCTCTTAATTTGTCTTAGAGATCAACACACCAGGGTATGGGCATGGAGCTGTGTTGATGCAAGCATAGGAGACCTTTTTCATATTTCAACCAATCTCTTTCTCCAAGAAATCAGGCCAAGTCGATGTATGAGCACAAACTTATGACTATAGTGCATGTGGTGCTCAAATCGCACCACTACCTCATGGGTCACATATTTACTATTAAGATTGAGCAACAAAGCTTAGAATTTCTCACTAATCAATGACAAGTACATCATTAATTTCAAAAGTGGCTCTCTAAATTAATGGGTATTAATTATATGATTTAGTACAAAAGAGTATGTAACAAAGCAGCTAACACCCGCTCTCATCACCCTCCTTTGATTCAATTGCAAGGAGCAAGCCTAATGTGGTCGACTAGTTCTATCCTACTCATTAAAGATCAAAATATAAACATCCTTATTTGGGTCTCATCTATCAAGCCCTCCTCAATGGGGGGTGATGTGACTTAGTCATTAGGTAATAAATCGCATAAATCTAAAATTATAAAACTAGATAACATTATTTTTCAAATTTTTAGAAATATTTTACACAAGAAAATATTATTTTTAATTTAATAAAACTTCAAAAATAGTGAAAACTCTCCAAGTTGATATGAAGGATATAAGATATTATCAAGTAAAATTTCATAATGTTTCTCAAATAATATATATTTTTATGATTTTTGAACTAAAAGATTATAAGAAAATACTTTTAAAATTAAAGAAAATAAAAAATTCGAGTGGTGATGTTAAGCTGGCATCTGTGTCTAAAGAACATCGATTAACATAAAAATAGAGTTTTTCTTGATAATTATTACATAAAGAATTATAGATGATTCAATTGACAAAAGTGAGGTCTATAAATATTGAATGAATCATAATGGACAAAAGAATAGTCTTGAAACTTTAATTTAAATAATATATCATCAATTTAAAAATTAATCAAGTTTAATATTTAAATTGATGATATTTTATTCAAGAAGATCTCCAAGTAGTGTCTACAATCTTGAAGGCTCTCCTTGGATTTGTACGACTTAGACACTCTAAATTCTCATGCAAAGTTTAGAGGGTGGAGGTAGAGGTCAATGAATTATTTATAATAATTGTCACTAAATGAAATTAAAGTTTGGCAATGATGAGTGTTTGATGGCTATCACTTAGCGAGCTGACTTAGAAGGAGGTGGGGGACATCTTAGGGAGCTTCTTCTTCAAGTCTAGGCATCAAGAGGAGGCTTGTATCACAATTAAAGCACTCTAAAGAGATTATGATAACTCTCTTGGTGAATCATCTTATTCTCGACAACGACTCATTCGTCAACGAACTAAAGATTCTTTTCTCTAAGAATTCATGATCTTTTTATCTAAAATCCTTTGTCAATTACTAATGACGATCTTAGATTAACATTGGTGAAGGTTCCCTTGACAATCAACCATCTCTAGTGGTTGTTCCATTGAATGGTGGTGTGCACTTGTCGTTGTGTTTAAATACACACTATCTAATAATATTTATAACTAAGACTTAATAAAATATTAGTATAGAAGTAAGTCTCAAGTCGAACATAGGGAGATTGATTAATCTATCGTGAAAACTAATTTAGTTTATATATAAAGTGATTTTAATATTTTATTAATATTTTACGAGAATAATAAAATAGAAGGATGAGGTGAAAGAATAAAAGAAGGAAAGTGAAGAAAAAGAAGGGGGAAAATAGAGAGAGAAGAGAGAGCTCTCACGAGAGAGAGAAGGGTTGAGATCTCTCATGAAAGGGAGAGAAAGAAAGAGGAGGAGAGAGAGAGAGCTCTCACAAGAGAGAGAAGGGATGAGATCTCTCGCGAAAGGATGAGAAAGAGAGAGGAGGAGAGAGAGCTCTCATGAGAGAGAGAAGGGATGAAATCTCTCACGAAAGGAAGAAAAAGAGAGAGGAGGAGAGAAATCTCATGTGAGATAGAGAGAGAGAAAAGTCTCACAAGAAAGAGAGAGAGAGAAGGAGAGAGAAGGAGATCAATTGAGAGAGAGAAAGAGAAGGAGATCGATCAAGAAAGAGGGAGAGATTTCACAAGAGATGGAGAGAGAAGAGAGGTCTCATGAGAGAGGGAGAGAGAGAAATAAGACAAAAATGAAGAAAGAGAGAAATATAATTAACCCATTTTCTTGGAGGAATGTGTGCTCGAGGATTCACACACATGACATGATGTCAGCCATGAATGTCTCCAACTTGTTTTAACCATTGAACGCTCATTAATCAACCTTTAATCTTGGTGATTTCGTATTCAAAAATAGAAAAATACTTATTATTTGTAAAACACCGAGAACATGAATATGTTGAGATTCGACTGCAAAAATCAATAAAAAATCAATTGGAAATGATCTTAGCTTAATCTTAGATAAGTCTTAGAGGATTCAAAAAAAGAATGAAGATCATTCATCAAGTTTTGAATTAGTTCTACTCATTTCAATCGAAATGTGCATGAAATGGAAAGAACTTGCCGTAAAATATGAATAAATGACAAAAGTAGGTAAATAAATACTGAAAATAGGAAATAAATTGTTGCCCAAGTTTAGTCTTCCTCTTGGACAACTGGAGACACCAGTGTGGTGTCTTGGTTTCGTCTGGATATGTCACACCACGTCAGAAGTTGCAGAAGTATCCTTTAAAAGTGCTGCGCTGCTTGTCAGAAAGATCCACTGAAAGAGGGGTCGACCATGCTGTCACTGTCGTTGTGGGGGAGAAGGGAAGAGCTAACCACTCATCGAAGGCCTTGAGTGCAGTTAGGGGAGGAAGAAGAAGCTTGTCGATCATCAAAGATGTCGATCGCGCAAAAGGAGGGAAGAACGGATTGCCGTATTCGTGACTACCATCGGGATTTTAAAAATAATCAATAATATCTATTTTATTAGACAATAATCAATTATTATCTTTATATCTTTGACAGTGATATGTGCGAGAACTTAAGTTCCCCGTATCATGGTGCTTCAAGAGCCGCTAGATTAGATGAGCTTGGTACACGGCATGCTGAGCGACATAGGATCAACTTGCTGTGAACTGCTACCGATCGAGAACTTAAGTTCTCAGTACTATGGTGCCTCCATAGTCGTCAGATCATCTTTTAAGGTCACATGCATGCTGAGCAGCGTTGAATTTCGTAAACTGTCGATGGTTCGCTTTACGCATCTAGTATCGTGGTGATTCACCAGCCGCATGATTGGGCTAATTGATGACGTGGCTCATTGAATACCACTAGATTACATCGTGCTTTATATGGTTGTGCTGAAATAGACGAAAATGGTTAGTCCCACATCAGAAGTTTGCCATCATTTAAGCTGAATATAAATCAAAATTTCTCTCTCATTAGAGATCCCTTCTCCTGAAAGAAAATAATGCCCAAGATCATCTTGGGAGAAGGCAATAAGGTGGTCCGCCCTCGCACGCGCACATTTGTATAGGCACTCCTTGCCCCACAACCGGTTGGCCACCAAGACGTGGAAGGGAAGTGGCACACACGTGCGCGGAGCGAGGCCTTTGCCACTCGAGCCCAGCTTGTGGCTCCCCCTGGTCTGTGTCTACTTGCTAAACTATTGTCCCCCCTTCAGGTCAGCTGCCGAGTGCCGATTTGTTAGTAGGCAGAAGAATTTTTTATATTTTAATAATAAAAAAATATGCTAAGTATTTTAACTTCAGACAATTAAAATTAACAATATATCCTATATTTATTCTACAAGTTAAAAAAATAAAATCAAATAATAAAACTAATTAAAACACATAAATGAAGCTTTAACAAATGGCTCTTTCTAGGAAAATCACAAAGTTAAAATAGAAAAAAACCATAATTTTGGCATTTGTGAGATTTTAACTTCTACCAATCATCTAGGTGCATAAGTGAAGCTCAACCAATTATCATAATACTCTAAAACAATGAACACATGATTCAATTTATTCTCTTATCATATGGACAATTCAGGTACTAATTTATACCAATGAGCAATGCCAACAGTTTAGTTGCAAATGAGTTGTTTCGAGAGATTTGAGATCAATAAAACTTTGGGCTTCAATATGCTTTCAAATTCCATCTCCCATAAATAAAATGGCCAAGACCACTTGGGGAGAGGGATATACCAAGTGGTCTGCCACCACATACACATATGTGACAAGATCATACCTTGCCCCATGCACTTGTTCAACACCAATGATGTAGAAGAAGAGTGATGCACATGTGTTTTGTGTGGGTTCCTTGAGCCACTTAATCTTAGCTCATGGTTCCCCCAACTATGCTTCCTACCTACGTGGAGCATCATTTGGTTTAACTGTTGAGTGTTGACTAGCCAACAAGTCTCTCACTTTTTATATTTTTATTTTTATTTAATTTAACTAAAAAATGTGAGTGTAAAAATCATATAAAATCACAGAATTTATCAAAAAATTACATTAGTTGCATAAATTTTATATTTTTATTTAATGTAAAAAAAATTATTTTCATGAGTTAGTTTATAAAATTAATATTTTAAACCATGATTAACTCATGATAATAAACACTTATTCGGGGGTTTCTTTGACAAAGTTTTACCTTCAACTAAGAACTCTTCTATTATAAAGGGTGGTTAACTCTTCCTTCTCACTCTCAAGTGCTTCAAGATATCTTTCAAAAATATCAGATAGTCTTGTAGAGGGTGAAATATGTGAACACTTGCAAAATTTACTTGTGCAACAAATCATCATCTCTAGCTCATGCATGACTCCTACAACATCTCCTCATCCTTGACAAAGTATGAGATGACCTTACTATGGATATTATCAAAGCGTTACAAATAAGTGTTTATTATTATAAGTTAATATTAGTTTAAATATTTTCTTTATGAATTAAATCATGATAAATATACACTTATTTCTGTTAAATAGTGAAAATGATTTTTATTAATTATGTAATTTTAATTAATAATTTTAGCTGAATAATGTGATTTTTTATTAATTATGTAATTTCATATAATTTTATATTCATATTTTTTAGTTAAAATGAAGAAAATAGAAAAATCGAAATAAGGGGAGACCCCTTGGCTAGTTGAGATTTGGCAACTGACCTAGAGGGTGCTGCATGTAGGTCAAAAGAACAGTTGGGGGACCCACGAGCCGGAGGTTCGAGTGGCCAAGGACCCATGTAGAACACATGTGTGTCACTCCCCTTCCACATCATCGGGGGCCAGTCGAACGTGGGGCAAGGAGTGTTTGTACACATATATGTGGGGTGGATCCTCTCTCAGAGGATCTTGGCCATTACGATTTTCGGAGATGTCATTTGACTAAGGGTGTGATACAAATATATATTCGTGATGGCGAGCGGGACCCGTCTCCATCAGCTCAGGAGACACCGGCAGTTCGAGTTTAGCCCGATCGACGTGCGAAGATGAAGGAGCCTGGCTTTCGCTACACAGCCTAGCCCTTCGGGACAATGACATTCCACCTCCGCGATGACAATGAGCTTGAGCTCACCCTTATCTTTCTTTGTATTTTCACGTTGACTTGTTGGGCCTCGCATTTGTGTGTTAGCAGGCCCAATTCTATGTGTGTGTGTTGTTTGTGTCTTCCTTTCTTTAGGGTTTATTGGGTCTCTCTTTTGAGGCCCAATTAAAACCCTAAGGGGGGAGACCTATGTTCCTGTCCTTTTTGGCCTCTTTTGGGCTTATTTGGGTCTTCATTTGAGGCCCACTTAAGCACCATACGAGGGCCCTCCTCTTTCTCCTTTTAGGGGAGCTTATTGGGTCTCTCTTCTAGAGGCCCAATAAGCCCCTTTTGTAGCCTTTTTGTGGCCTATGGGCTTGAGGGCCTCAAGTGGGCCCACCTCCCCTTAGCCCACTTGTGGGCCCTATATAATGGGAGGTAGGACCCCCCCCCCTCAAGAGAGCGCCGTATTTTGTGAGAGATTTATCGTTTTCTGAGTATCTTCTTCGTGACCTAGGATAGGGAGGGAAGGAGGGAGAGGAAGGCCGTCGATACCCTGAGGACTTCGTTCATCGTGACGCTGCTGCCGGAGAAGTCCCGCCGCCGCCGGAGACCACTGCCGCCGCCGGACATCTTCGTTGCCGCCCGTGAGATCACTGCCGTCACCGGGCGAAACGGTCGCGGTTGCCGCTGCAGCCGCAGCCGCCTCTGCTGGAACCCCGTCACGCCGTCGTGACGAAAGGGGCTTGCTTCGCCTCCTTACGAGCCGTCGCCGAGCACTCCGCCGGAGTCCCTCGACTCCTGGTTCGACTGCCACCTCTTCCTCCGGAACTCCACCATAAACTCGCCGGAGCCGCCCTCCGCCGCTCCGCCCAGTCGCTGGCCGTTCGCCGACGAACGCCTACCTGCCGCCGACGTCGGGAGAGACCCTGCAGCCGTGCCGACGAGCCAAAACCAGTCCAAGCTCCTCACAGGCCCCCGCCGGAGTTTCCCGACGCTCCGCCGCCGTCGCGCCGTTTCCGGTGCCGCTTAGACCAGGAGAGCTCAACCCTCCCTGGTATCGTCGGCCGGATCGTCTCCTTCCTCTGCTCCGCTTCCCGGCGCCACCAGAGAGGGCCGATCCTTTCGGCGACGGTTGGGTTTCCGCCCAACCGCCGACGCTCGGCATTCCCGCCGAAGCGCCGCTGACGCTCGGCATTCCTGCCGAAGCGCGCTGACGCTCGGCCTTCCCGCCGTAGCGCCGCCGACGCTCGGCATTCCCGCCGAAGCGCCGCTGACGCTCGGGATTCCTGCCGAAGCGCCGCTGACGCTCGGCATTCCCGCCGAAGCGCCGCTGACGCTCGGCCTTCCCGCCGAAGCGCTGCCCCCGCGCGCCAGCGTGCCCTTCGGCCCACCAGCGGGCCCACGCCTGCTAGGGTGCCCTACGGCCCACCATCAGGCCCACGCCCGCTAGCGTTCCCTTCGGCCCACCAGTGAGCCCACACCTGCGCCGACCGTGCCACGCCTTACGATGACGGCTTCTGCGACTCTCGACCAGGATCGACCATCGACGCTGAGCATTGCTCTTCACCGGACGTCTCTACATTCGTTGAATCTCCACTCCATCACGACCCACCGAGCTATGCAGCCCCGAAGGTTAGCTTCGTACCCCTTCCTCTTAAGTTTAATTATCTCTCAAAGGGTTTTCTCGGCTCGTCTCCACCACCATCAAGAGAACGTAGACAGGATAGGATGGTTATCGGATCGTGACTTCCGACGCTGCGCCAGATTCGTCACCGTTCGTGAGCTGCAGCCCTAGGCTACCTCACGACGACTGTTCCGCCGTCTGTCCAGACGTGGACCGAGAGTGCCTCACACTTATCATCGTCGAGTGTTTTCCTGGGTTGTCTTGGGTTGATCATGCATATTGGTACACCTGCCTGTACTTAGGTTACGTGGTCTGACCTAGAGTTTAAGGTCCATACATTTTAATCGGATCGGTCCGACTACCCAATCCCGGGTCTTGAGTTTCATTGATCAAGTACAAGGGTCCTCGCCCCGTCCTGCATCAATTCATCTCAAAAAAAGGCAAACAATCAATGTGGACTAAACTCACCCCAATGTTTGTTGATGTTGTTTGAAGTATTTAAATATAAAAAATACCCATATATTATAATAAGGCAACACACCCATGATGTCACTAGGTTAGGTGTATGTAGATAATTCATTAACCCTCTCTTACATAGCTAAATAATTGACAAGTTTGAATCTCACTAGAACTAAAATTCATATTTTTTATCTATTTAACTATTATTTTTTTGTAGAGTGTCAATCAATGATCAAGTCATCAGAATCATTTGAATCATCAACAAAAATATCATCAATGTGATTCACAAAGTGTCGTTACCAACTAATGAAGGATTATGAATGAAAAGGTCATGAATTCATTGAAAAAAGAATCTTTGATTGATCGACGATTATGATGTCATCGAGAATAGCAAATTGAATGTGATATGAGCTTCTTCTCACTACACATACTTGAGGAATAAGTTTATTGAGATGTCCCCTAGCTCCACCCAACTCACCTTCACTAGGTGATAGCTATTGGAGATTTGAATATTGTTGAACTTCTGCTCCACTAGGTGACAGTCACTAGAGATGCTTCACTGATCCACCTCATTAATTTCTTAACTTCATAAGAAGATCTAGAGATTACACAAGTTGTATATATATAAAGAGAGCTTTTGGGGCTCTAGACATCACACAATTTTTTTCTCAAACACTCAAAATTTATAATGATCACCACTACAATGTTGAAACTCTATTTTTTATTTAAAACTTAATTATTCTTTACATTAATACGATTTTTTATGTGATTTCAAGTTGCAAAACTCTTATTTAGTTAATTACAATTCTTTTGACTTTTACAAAAATTTTAATTTGATCAATTAAATCATATGTAATCATTTATGTAATAATCGTCAAGTGAAACTCTATTTCTACCTAAATCACCTTTGTCAAGGCACTAATGTCATCATGAAGTCAACACCTGAATTTTCCTTTTTGTGAATTTTTAAATAAATTTCATCTTCATTTTTTAGTCTTAAAATCATAAAAAAATAAATTATGTGTGAAAATTAATGACATTTTACTTGATTATCTTACATATCTGTAATTGACTTGAATTTTTTTATTCTTTTTTAAGTCATTTATCGAATTATAATGGATATATTCGTACTAAAATACTTCTAAAAATATGAAATTAATATTTTTCTAGTTTTATAAAATTTAAATTATGTGATTCATTATACAAAAATTAAGTCACGTTAGTTACCAACCTCTACATGTTTCAATTCAATTTTGGTCATGGTGGATACATTATCAAAGTATGCTCCATCATAGCAAGTGATGGCTAAATTGTCAATTTTGCTCATTTTATTCCATCAGAACATCTATTTTCAGCAA